TATCCTTGGCACCCAGCCATGGATTCAGCATGTGATGTAGGACACTTGGTCAACGCGCTGGCGAAGAGGCCATTTGATGCGCTAGTGTTTGGGTGTGACATGGTGTGACTTGTTTGCTTTTCCAATTTATCTTCCTTTTTTTGTTGACGTTTGCTGATTCCCCAATATTGGGCCTGTCACCTGAATCGAGTGGGTTGCCGTGTCCCCATTGCAGGCAAACTCGTATTCTGGCCATATCGGTTCTGCGTATTTCAAAAGCACGAATTGTGAGCATTCAAACTCTTCTATACATGCTTTTGTCTCTCATGTTTTGAATTTGCTTGGAGTACGTACACTTGTGCAACCATGATTAATTCACAGGTTTTCTATTAGAGTTCTAGTGGGCCATTCCGCAAAGCTGGAACGACTTAGGATAAGGTCATTCCAGCAGGCAAACACATACGTCACATACGTCACATACGTGATACTTGTATGACACCTACACGACCTACACGTGTATCCAGCAACTTTAGCTTCGGTCAACCTCCAAAAGCGCGGGCTTTGCCTCAAAATTTCTGTCTTGTCTGTCCTGGTTGTGGCTTGGCTCAGCCTTGTCAAGCCGGACGTATTCAGAAGCTGATGAATCCTTGATCAAGCGCTGATCTGGTCAGGAAGCCCTCTCGTTCTGGCACAAATGCAGCCGTGCAAGATGCAGTGAACAGCGGAGAGGCTGGAGCAGAAACAACGGCAGCAACCGAAACAACATGTCGAATGTTATCATATTAATAGAGGTCAGCAGATTTCAGCAGAGTCCTGATTTTGCTGCTACTGCTTCGGTCATTTTTGCAGGTGGCAGCAATTTACATTCTGGTTGCAGATGTGAGGAGGCAGGTCTCGGTGCATTCCCAGGACATATTGGGGCAATGCAGCTTAAACATGATCAAACTGTAATCTAACTCTAAAATCTAAAAGGTCGTTGGAAGATAACATTCGAAGACGTTTGAACACAATCAAAAGTAAAACAGGCAAGTGCGGGCCAAAGTTTGAACATCAAGTAAAATGATTGGTAAGTCTGTGACTCTGCCCTTGCACATTGACTAGACGTTAAATGAAGATGAATTCTGACTTTCAGATTGCCAAAGCATTATGGCCGACACCTTGGCACAAGCTTGTCTAACTTAGCATTCCTTACTCTTTTCTAAGCCCCCCTCGCACGGTTCTACTCTTCCGTTTGCGACTGCTCATAGATCAAAACCAGTGCCAGGCTCTTACTGGAAGCAGCCGCCTTCGGAACACTTCTGTGGCAAGCAGAGGACAAGGCTCGATGCTGCACCATAGCACGTGGTGGAAGGATGTCTAAAGTCCCTAGTTTGCAGTTTGTGTGTTTTTGCTGGGTGAATCAGATCTTGAGGCATGAGTGGGACTGCAGGGTAGCTGATGACATGTACGAATTGCACATATCTTGTTGTTCTCTTTGCAGGCCCTCTGGGCCTTTGAATCCTTGAATTAAATTATATATAAAGAGAAGCAATATTACAGTCGTGGAATCTGTCCCGGCGCACAAGAGATAGGTAATATCATGGAATTCAGATTCATGATATGAATTCCGTCCAAAAAGGGGTCAAGTCATGCAAGTCGTTCTGAAACTATTCCAGTTGAATGTGAATTCAGCATCTTCACACATTTACATGTATTTTACGTGAACCTTATGATTGCAAAAGCCTGCGTTCAGTCCTTGATTGTGATGGACATCCTCATCTCATACATGTAACTTTTTGGACTTGTTACACATACATTTGGGACATTTTAAAACTAGTCCCAATTTGCAATAATTTGTAGCTCTTGTAGCTCTTGGGTCATTGCTTCCACCGATGCCACAGTGGTTGCAATGTTTGAACTTGAAGCCTGCGTTGAAGTTGAAGCCTGATCGACTTTTTTTTTCAACTGGCATATTTAATCCTGGCAATTTACAGTACCTTCTGAGCAATCGAGGCAAATCTTGCTTCAAACAAGGAACATGTTTTCTTATTTGTCAATTTGTAGATGTCTTGTTATATACGTGGTTTGTAGAGTGGAAGTGGTAATTTTGGCAATAAGTCAGTGAAAGATATGGTTCCTCTCATATTTTGTGCAGTAGGATCGACAAGTTTGCAAATCATTTGTGCGATCGATTCGTTTTGTACCGGTTCCTTGAGTATGCAGTATGCCCCTTTGCCTTTGTATTCCTGTTTCAAGATACCGTGTTTTCTTGCATACGCGTCCCTTCTCTTTTTGTGAAATCTTTTCGCAAAGCAGTGTGCCTAAAGCGTCTTTGATGTAACGACTTTAAAGAGTTCTCAGGGTGAGCTTGGCTTTCTCTTGGCTTCCTTCTGGCTTTCTGGGTTCCCTTTACGGTTGGCATCAGGATGCTTTTCTTTTGCAGTTTGGGGAGTTTGTGGTGTTATTGTTTTGGCATTGTTTGTTTGACAGCTTGAGAACAGGTCAGTGACCTCAGGTGCCAGAGCTACCAGTCAAACAGAGAGAGAGAGAACACATAGACTTGACAAAAAAAAGAGAGTGGAATAGTGATGGCAACGAACTTTCATGACATAGAAACAAGAGAAGCTGAAATTGAGCTTAAAACTAGAAGAACAGAACCGTTGGCTCTTATTTAGACCCCTCCTCTTTTGCAGAAGTCTGACGGGCCTTGATTCCCAAAGGGAAATCTGCTGAATGATAGTTGGGATTTCTTTGTTCTTTTGCGTGTTTCCTTTTGCCCAGCTTTGCCTCAAAATTATATTATACTTTTCAATAGTTGAAGACAGTGTGACGACTCCAGGCTCTTGAATTGTCGTCGCCGACCCTGACAAAGCAGTCCCGCCAAAGCCCCTGGACTTTTGTGGCAGACTTGCAAGTCTTGCAAGGAGCAACAGTTCTTTGATGGCCTTTGATATTGTAAGCAGCCTATGATCAAGTCATACTGAGGCTTGAGCGACTTCGGAGTCCAAGCTGACAGTCGTCACTGGCATGTTTGCAAGTTTGAAGCAGAAGACATGCGGTAAAAGGATGTAAAAGGGATAAACACATGGTCTTTTCAAGTATATTATACTGTATATATATATATATATGTTGTATTATGTCCTGAGTCTGGATCAGCAGAGCTTTCTCGGAAGTCGGATTCGAGTCGGTTTCGGGTGTCGGACTTCGGGTGTCGGGTTTCGGGTTTCGTTTTTCTGGTTTCGGTCTTCGGGTTTCCGATTTCGGCTTCTTGTCTTCAGCTCCTCTGGCTTTGGTTTGTGGATGCCGTTTGTTTAAGGGCTGCCGCCCCCGGCGAGCGGGAGCGACGGGGTAGCAGCCAGCGGTTGACAGATAGGTAGATAGATATATGTAATAAAATAAATTACTTTACTTCGTGTGATCCCCACCATGACATTTATACATTTTCTTACTGGCAAATCTTCTGGCATTCTATCTGACATATCTTCTGACATTCTATTTGGCATTCTATCTGGCATATCTTCTGGCATATCTTCTGGCATTCTATCTGGCATATCTTCTGGCATATCTTCTGGCATATCTGGCATATCTTCTGGCATTCTATCTGGCATATCTTCTGGCATATGTTCTGGCATATCTTCTGGCATTCTATCTGGCATATCTTCTGGCAAATTATCTGGCAAATCTTCTGGGATTCTATCTGGCAAATCTTGTGGCATTCTATCTGACATTTTATCTGGCATTCTATCTGGCATATCTTGTGGCATTCTATCTGACATTTTATCTGGCATTCTATCTGGCATACCTTCTGGCATTCTATCTGGCATACCTTCTGGCATTCTATCTGGCTGTTGAGGTCCAGCGGTGCACACTGAGCTGGGCAGGTCCCAGGTTGAGGTCCAGCGGTGCGCACTGAGCTGGGCAGGTCCCAGGTTGAGGTCCAGTGGTGCACACTGAGCTGGGAAGGTCCCCGGTTGAGGTCCAGCGGTGCACACTGAGCTGGGCAGGTCCCCGGTTGAGGTCCAGCGGTGCACACTGAGCTGGGCAGCTCGCAGGTTGAGGTCCAGCGGTGCACACTGAGCTGGGCAGCTCGCAGGTTGAGGTCCAGCAGCGCGCACTGAGCTGGGAAGTTGGCGAAGAGCTTGGCGACGAGTTGGCAAGGTTGGCAAGGCGGAAGTGGAGGTGGAAGAGGCGGAGGCGAGGAGGAGGGCGAGGAGGACAGCTAGTCGAGGAGGAGGAGGAGGAGGAAGAGCAGATTTGAGGTTAAGAGATGTGATGTTGATTGAATGTGAGATTGAGTGAGTGTTAGCTGGCTTTAGATCGATGTCCGTAACACGGAAGTTCCTCTCCGAAACTTTGTTTGATAAATGCAATTACATACTACGTATGAATATACATGAATATACACATAATGTCTTTGAAAAATCATGTATATATACAGATGTATCATGTGACGTCACAACATGTACAGTGTGTATATGCATACATAGATTTATGTATGTATACACATTAGGAAATGTATCTACATGTGTACATCTACATACCAAGTCAAACGATGGAAAGCAGCGCCGGTTTGAGACCGCCAGACCACGTTTTTCCAGGCGATGGCAACCCTGTGCTGCCCGAGTGACGGGGGCGACAACTGCAAAGAGACCCGTTTTTTTTTTGCGTAGCATATAGTATTCAAATGGGACCCAAATGGGACCCAACTCAGTTGGGATCCTCACCTTGGTTTGTGCCGCAAAAATGTGCGAAACAGTAAAACACTGTTTTCTCCAGTCTAGTGGTTTTGAAAGTGAGAAATGCTCAGTCCCAAGTGGTTGCTTGCTGAGCAAGTTCAGGAACCTTTTTTTGAGGGAAAACCATGTTGAAACTGAATCCTGGAAATTCTGGGCCACTGTTTTCATGTTTCCGTTTAGGGCATGCATGATTGGCATCATGATAGGAACGGAGGATTTGGCAAAGGGTGCAACAGTCAGCCATCACTTTCATGATCACACGAACAACCATACATAACATTTAAACTGAACATCCCGGTCCGTCAGGAAACCAAATCAGGACCTCCTTGTTTGCTGCCCCACCTGGTGTTGCAAATGCAGGCCTGGCCACAAAACCGCAAATTTTGCCATATGAAATTTACACGTGTAATGTAAGTTGAAACCGAGGTCTGCACGTTCCACGGGTAGCTCTGCTCGTGCTTTTCATCGCAGTGGACACTGGACAGGCAGCGGAGACACCACGAAGTAGATTGAAAAGCGTAGATTGGATTGATGTGATCCAGGCTTTAGTCATGGACTGGGCTGAAAAGAGATCCTGGATGGAACGTGCTGGGCGGCAGTCCGAAACTCAACATATCTAAGGGTCCAGACACTCAACACCTGCAACTGGCAAATCCCGCTAATTATTCAGAAAGGATGCTTTTAGATTGTGATCTAGGTTCGGGGTGGCGGGGTGAGTTGCTTCAGGTGTCGCCATACAAGGGTCTAGTTTCTCAACAGATGCTCTTGTTTTGCAAACGAGAGTTGCTCCACAAATCAAGGCTTCAGGGTTTTACTTTCCAAATTGGAATCCACGACGTCTAAGGTTCGCAGCAACAGGGTCTTAGTTTCAGAAACGCAGATATGCGCATTGAGGTACTCTCGCCAAACAGCCTTGGTAGTAGAATCGGGACTTTCAGTTGTGACAGGCCTGGGCATGACCGATGTATTCAACGAAATGGATGAACATGGCATTACAAACTAAGGACATGATATTACAGTTTTGCATAGGTGAAAAGGAATGAAAAAGATACTTCAAGTTTGCATACGTGGCCAGGAAGGTTAGATGCCAACAGTCAAGTGGTTCAGAAACTTCTCCCAGAGCACAAACATAAGAAACTACAGGACAAACTCCAAAGGTGAGTGATGGCTGCAGCGGACACTTTGCGGCGCTTCATGTTTTGTGTACTAGACATTGCTAGACATTATTCGATGCAGTTTTGCCATGTCTTGCCAGGCCTTGTGGTCTCTTCGTTTCTGGGTGCAGACAAACTCAGTGCTCTTTGGCCTCTTTGCATCAAAGTCCGAGCCTCAACGGCTTATTGCGCCGCTCTGCTTTGCTCGTCTGGCAAGGGGGTTCTACAGCTTCATTTCTGGAAGTCACTAAAAGTGAACACCCCTGTCCTTAGCCAGGCAAATATTGCTGTTTGATCAAGCACCAGTCGAAGCGGCCAAATATATATTTTTCGATATTTTTCACTGAATAATCTGAATACCGGTTATCGTTCTGAGTTGCAGAGAAATCTCTGCAGGTCAACGGTGCAAGGTATTCGCGATGTCTTTAAGGGCAGTAGTCGGAATGTGATCACCCTCTATTGAGCTTCCAATCAGACTTCAATGCACTTCGAGTGTGGACAAACAAATGGGCTCCAATGAAAGTCATATCCAGGAGGATGTCGAAACATCGCGCAACAAGCGTCCTTGGAATAACTTGCCTTGCGTGAATATACAGGAGGCACCGAAAAACACACGAGTTGCGGACATAGATTTTCAATTCACAAATTTCAATCACAGACCATGGTTTTTGGCGAGGTGATCGGTCATTGTCAACCCACTTATGCTACTTATGGGGTTTACGAGCCTGTTAGACACCAATATCTACAATGACCCCAGAAAATTAGCTTGGTTTGTGTTGGCGTGGAATGGACGTTGCCAATTCTTCTATGGAGGAGGAATACTTTTGAGTTTCCTTCACACGGTAAGCATAGGCGCCCCAGGTAGACCCTTTGGCTATTCAAGCTGTCCGCGTGATTCAGTGATTGTATCGGATGATCCATGTCGCCCCTGTCAATCTTGTTATATATAAATAAACGTATATATATATAATATCAGCTGAAACGCTGAGTATCCTGCTTCAATATTATTGACCATCAAGTACTCGTATGTACAAGAAGATCAAGTATGTACAAGCGCTGTTGCAATGCTCGGAGCTTTTCTTGTCCTCGATTGTACCCTCATCCAGAAACGTATCACTGTCGTTTTTCCCAAAGACTGATGCAAAGAAGTGCACGATATCACAACTTGATTATGCACGGCAGGTCATGACAGTCTTTTTTCACTCAAATCCTGCATGGCTGAGTTCTTTCCTGTTGCCCTTTGCTTTGCTGTTGGCCTCTCGCTGAAGATGATGGCTGTGGACCACTTCCAGGCCAAAGCCATTGCGTGTCGAACGATGTCGAACGTTTGCAATGAAGTGGTGGAGCCACTATGGGGTCAACTGGTCAACTTGATTGCCTGCCGTGACACTGTCGTGACACTGTTGTGAAAGGCCGGCACGATCAAGATTGTTGGCCAATTGCGGCCGGATACTAAGTGGTGCCGTGTTGCATTTTATGAAGCCAGCAAAAGTGGAAGGAAGACACTACAAGACACTACTGGGCAACAGAACCTTGACCAATGTCAAACAGTAAAACTTCATGACTTGCGATGGAAGTTAACTTCAGGGACTTGCCATCTGTGAGGTTGGGCCTCGTGGCCCTGGCGTCCACCATCATCCTTTCGAGAAGGCTTGCAGAATCATATTGTCTTTCAATATGTTCAATGTTATGTGTGCACTGTGTGCACGAGCATGTCATACTATGTCACACACAATTGACAGGAACAAGACTCCCAAATAGAAGTAGATGTTTTGGGTGCAACAGGACCCAACCATACAACTACGACGGCAACCAACCAACCAACCAACCCAACCAACCAACCAACCCAACCACCCAACCACCCAACCACCCAACCACCCAACCACCCAACCACCCAACCACCCAACCACCCAACCACCCAACCAACCAACCAACCAACCAATCACCCATCCAGCCAGCCAGCTAGCCAGCCAAGCAAGCAAGCAAGCAAGCAAGCAAGGCAAAGCAAAGCAAAGCAAGGCAAAGCAAGGCAAAGCAAGGCAAAGCAAGGCAAAGCAAGGCAAAGCAAGGCAAAGCAAGGCAAAGCAACGCAACGCAATGCAAGGCAACGCAAGGCAACGCAAGGCAACGCAACGCAACGCAACCCACCCACCAACGAACCAACGAACCAACGAACCAACGAACCAATCGAACCAATCAAACAACCAAACAACCAAACAACCAAACAACCAAACAACCAAACAACCAAACAACCAAACAACCAAACAACCACGACGACAACAACAACAACAACAACAACACATCAAACCTGAAACCACACACAATCATATATACATATACACATGATACGTACATACATATACATACATAGTATATATATACATGATATATATATATACGTATACAATATATATATGATATATATATATTATATGTATACGTATATATATATATATGTGAAAGTACAGTAGATGACAGCTCAGTAGTAGCCCAGTGTCCTAAGTTCAACATTGACCCGTGCCGCACCGCGACACGTGGCTCAAGATTACCGACGCTCCGACGCATGGAAAAACAGCCGCGCTGCACGCTGGACATTGTGGACTACCAGACCATAGACAAGGACAAGGACAACTACACGAAGACGCAAAGAGGACAACTCTTTCACAGGTTATCAGCCGTACGCTCACGCTGAGCGTACGGTGGTCCCACGTAATCTTCTACCTCATCGGCATCCTGGTCCTCCTGCCCTACTACAAGTCGTGGGCTTGGAGCAAACGGAGGTGGACTGACAACAAGAAGATGTCGCAGAAGAACCAGTCAAGCAGCAACGACACAAGCTTTTCCTTCGGAGCGAATGCTGCTCCGGCCCAGGCGATCAATGACACGCCTGGATCCCAAGAGAGCGGCGGCGGCGGCGGCACGATGTCTTACCGTGCAGCTGGAAGTATAGCATCAACAAGCAGCTTCACAGTGGTCAATCAAGCTGACGTAGTTCGAGGAGGAAGTGCCAGAAGAGCAACATCGGCAAGATCACCTCGCGCTGCAAGATCTCGCATTGCAGAAGACGGCGGTGGCCGAAGCCCGTCGGGCGCGGCCACGCGGGAGGATGAGGCAGGGAAATCTACCACCTCATCCAAACGCAAGCCATCGACCAGCGCTACGAGGAATGAGAGCGAGGCACGTCTTCGACGTCAACTACAACACAACACCGAGAAGCTGGAGAGGAGCGAACGGGCAAGGACTGAACTGGAAAACAGACTAAGTCTCTATCAGGATGTTCTTGCACACCGTGACCAGATGATTAACAATATGGAGATCTATTCACATCAACATCATGAAGAATATCAAGAACATGTCAACTCCGAGATGGAATTCATGAGAGTTTCCCTCATCGATGCACACCATGTACTTGAAGAGCAGACGATCGCACTAGCTGAGGCGCATCTCCTGGACGAAGGTTCAACAATGAGGATCATCGAGCTGGAGAAGCGTGGTCAACTTGCTGAAGCAGGTGCGGCACACATTGTTCGGGAAAGTATTGAGATGAGGGGAAAGTATCTCACTGAACTAGAGAACGCATCACAACTCATTCGTCAACAACATGACACATCTGAAGCTATGACAGTTCACTTTCGTCAAGATGCGCTACAACTGCGTGAAGCATGTACACAGTATGTCCAAGACAGGGATAATGCGAGCAAGGAAGAAATGGAGCAATTGAAACTGAAACTATCAGAGCAATCACTTATGATGGCTGACAACAATGAGATGATCATGGAATATGGCCAACAAGCTGTCGCAGTACGTGATGAACAGTTGGTAGAGATGCAATTAACCATCGACGAACTGACTGCCAGTTTGTCGCACAAGGACAACCTCATTGCTATCAGGGATGATGCGAACCGTGATCACATTGTGAAGGTTCGCGACATGAAGAGCATGATTCAGGAGAGAGAGGAAGAGTACAACCGGAAGCACAACGAGCTCGAGGTGGAGATCAGAAGCCTCATGAGAATCAATGAGAACGAGAGTGCTACCCGGGAATGGTATACAAATCGGTTCATTGATGAGAAGAACGAGTTCCGCCAGTTCAAGCATGATGAACTCAGTGCATTCAAGGACAGGGAGATCACCATCGAGCGCGTCAAGGACGAACTCATGGATGAGAACATGGCTCTGATTGAGTCCACCAATCAGTTGAGAACACGAGTTGCTGAACTTCTTGGATCTCGATTTCATTCTGGTGGCGATGAAGACAATGCTAAGGTGAATGAAGAACTACGTGAAGAACTTCGCAAAGCCAACATGGAGATCAGTCGACTTCAAGAAGCAGTTGAAAGCAACCCGAAGCTCACTGAGGCACTCATCGATGCCGAAGAGGCAGAGGCAGACAGGTACAAGAAGCTCTATCAGTCGGCATGCTCTGAACGTGACCATGTGATCAGAAAGAATGACTCATTGAAACAATCACTCAACGATGCAAGACTGACAATGAGTACGGTACCAGCGTCATGGAGCAGAGCATCGACCAGAGCCACAGTACCAGCCTCACCATCAGTGGTGCCTCCAACGACCCTAGTCCCGAGGGCGACTGCACTTACTGGCAAGACTCCATCATTTGCAGTATCGATTTCAACACCTATGGGTACGCCTAAGGCATCCTCTACAACGAAGAATCATGATCCTGCTCTACCACCACCACCATCACCTAGCATGAGCAATGCCATCGAGAACCAAACCAACAGTGAGATCGATGACCTTCGTGAGAAACTTCGTCGGTCTGAAGAACAAGCCCAGCAGAACTATGACGAGATGAAAGAATACCAGAGTTGGCTGGAACAAGCTGAAGAAGGGCAAGAATCTTTGAAAGACAGCAAAGCCCCTGAATTCGAGCCCGTTCCTGATAATCCTCCTGGACTTTGGGAACGGAAGGATGGCAAAGATGCTAGTGTTGCAAACAGTGATGCTGGTCAAGATGGCAAAGATTGGGTAACTAGGATTTCCAGGAAGGAGCACGAGAAGGTCACTGTCAAGCCATGGCCAAAATGCCAGGATCTTGATGTTTGGCGTTCCAACGTCGTGCAAGCCGTATGTGTTGCATCAGGTGATCCAGACACGGCTGCATGGAGAAGATGGCTATCTCCTGCTCTATTACCCAGTCCTGACTATGCTGAACTTGCCGATTCAGGAGAATTCCGTTTCCAGTCCATCGACTCCAAGTTGTCCATTGCCTTGCAGAACATGGTAGACTCCGCTGGCGAGACGGCATCGGAGGTCAAGGTTCGGATCAGACAGAGGAGTCAAGTTCTGGGAAAAGAAGGGAATTTCCTGATGGGCAGGGAGATATTGGCAATGGTGTTAGATCATTTCAGAACAACATCGAAAGATGAAGTATTGTTCAATGCCAGCCACATCTACAAGCTACAGTATCGTGGTGACAAGGAGATGGATAAGTTCCTCCATGCTTGGATTGAGATCATCGCCAACATGAAGGCTGAGGACATTCCATCTGACAACACACTGCGTGATCATCTGCTGAGGAAGATTGATGGTTCCCAGGCATTGCACGTCGACCTCACGATCTTCAAGGGCAGGGACAATGATGACAAGAAGAAATCATATGGTGAACTCTTGGAGATAATGAGGAGACACATAGCTCGTGCACGCGAAGATCGCAATATCGCGGCCAGGGACAAGTTTGCCATGGACTACACCAACCTGGGTAAGCCTTCTACCCCAGCTCCGAAGCCGACGGCTCCGGCACCTGCGCCAAAGGATGGGAAGGGTGGAAAACCGAGTGCTCCAGCACCCAAGGGCAAACCTGGAGCTCCTGTTCTACCTTCCGGCAATCCCAAGAGCCATGGCAAGGGGAAAGGCAAGGGTGGCAAACGATCGAGATCACCTTCCACTCGAGATACTTCAAAGACCTTTTGTCACTTCCATTTCAACAAGGGCAATTGCAAGCATGGTGACAAATGCCAATATAGTCACTCCCAATATCATTGGGACAAGAGGAAGGACAAAGGTGGAAAGGGCAAGAACAGCAGATCGGCTACTCCAAGAAGATCGCGGACCCCTGGTGGAAAGAAGGATCGACATTGCTATGGTTGGTTAAAGGGCGATTGTCAGAAAGGTGACAAATGTACCTTCAAGCATGACCCAAGCATGAAAGGCAAGAGAGCGGCGCCTTCTACAAAGACGCCCGACGCCAAAGCTACCCCGGCATTGATCCGTGAGTACGATGACGATTTCATCGTGAACGCAGTGCCTATCGAGAAGAAGAACAAGATGGATGTCAAGTTCAATGACAAGGTGGAAACCATCGTGTATGTGAAGCCTGATTTTGTGGAATGTTCCAATAGGAAGCCAAAGAGAAACATGTCCAGAGCTCAGAAGAAGTCGTTGACGTGCAGAACAACCAAAGAGATCATGGATGACCAGCAATGGGTACTACAATCCAAGTTGGGAACGACAAGAGCACGTGCAATTGGCATACTGATGGACGACTATGGTGAGTTTTCTGATGTTGACGAAGTACACATCATCCTGGGACCCAAGAATGATATCAAGCTCAAGATCAACGACATTGATTTCTTGTGGAACAACTCACGAGCTGAGATATGCTATGAGGAAGTGATTCCTCATGTTCC